TGGTGGAGGCAGTTTTTCTTGCTTCTTAAGCGTGCATGGATGCAGGTATCCTCCTATTTATGCATGATCTAAAGCACTCTTTCTATAACATGCTGGGCTTGAACACCATTTTAAGAAGTAGCATAACATTTACGAATAAAGGAAAGACTCTTAAGAAAGTGACATTGGAGAATCATTGAATTGTCTCCTTCTGTCAAGTTACATTTTGTGTTTCTGAAAATTTTGCTTGACTCCGTAGGCATCATAGAAGGGTCTTTGAATTGTACATAGAAGGTTAACTTGGGCAGTTGTCTGATTAATTTCTTCACTTGAAACCATAGGCTTCTCGAGATGGGCCAACAAACAAAGTCCGTGCAAGAATGTCTGTTGCATCTGCTCTGATATTTGGATCCGTTTTCTGGAGAATGGGGAAGTCTCAGACGTCAATTCAGGACAGAATGGGTTTGCTTCAGGTCTTAACATTTTGATTTTGCTATATGCATCTCTCTTTTTTTGCGTTGTTTAAAGTAATACTTAGTACGAGGAGCTTTTTTATATGTACGAGGAGCATTTTTATATACTAAGCAATGATGTCTTTATGCTTCAGGTTGCTGCAATAAACACTGCAATGGCAGCTCTCACAAAGACAGTTGGTGTCTTCCCTAAAGAGCGTGCCATTGTGGATAGAGAACGGTCCAAAGGGTCTTATTCTTTAGGCCCTTACCTGCTCTCCAAAACAATAGCTGAAATTCCCATTGGAGCGGCGTTTCCTTTGATGTTCGGTGCTGTATTATACCCCATGGCTCGCCTAAATCCCACTTTGTCAAGGTAATTCCTAAGCTTCCTATCTTTTCATCTTTTGCTATTCTTGTGGCGACGAGGTAAATGTTATGCATAATCCTCTCAACTTACACTAAATAGCCATTCTTGAGCTTTCTCTGTGTATTTGACAAACCAATGAATTGTCCCTAACAAAGAGATTTCTTGCCAGATTTGGAAAGTTTTGTGGGATAGTGACTGTGGAGTCTTTTGCTGCTTCTGCGATGGGTCTAACTGTTGGGGCTATGGTCCCGAGCACAGAAGCTGCAATGGCTGTGGGACCATCTCTCATGACAGTTTTCATTGTGTTTGGAGGTTACTATGTCAATGCAGACAACACCCCAATCATCTTCCGTTGGATTCCTCGTGCTTCATTGATCAGATGGTAAATCACCTCTCCCCAAATGACTATACAGCAATGATGATCTCGTCTATTTATACATCTTTTACTCTCTCAACATCCGCTCGTCTTTGTTCAGGGCCTTCCAGGGACTCTGCATCAACGAATTCAGCGGCCTGGAGTTTGATCATCAGAACTCATTTGACGTCCAAACCGGAGAACAGGTAACAGCTAGTTTACTATATGAAACCCCATCACTGTCGCTTTCTTTGAGGCCATCTGAGGTTAAAATGTTTCTGGCATATTTTGCAGGCGCTAGAACGACTGTCGTTTGAAGGAAGCAGGATAAGGGAGACAATAGCAGCTCAAAGCCGGATCCTGATGTTCTGGTATTGCAGCACGTACCTTCTCCTGGAGAAAAACAAACCAAAGTATCAAAAGCTCGAGCTTCTTGATGACAATGGAGATACCGAGAATCCAGGAGTGCAGCTGGAGGATGAAGCAGAGATTGTTGATCAAACGGAGGAGCCTGAAGACGATGATCCGAAGCAGCTAGTTGAGGAACATAGTCAAACATCATCGGAAGAGCTTGACGAAATCCGGCCCTTTGTCCTCGAAGGTTTGTAGTAGAATTGTAATTACTATATACAAACTAAGAACAACATACGCTTAACTAAAAGGTGAAAGAAAGATCTAAAAATACATACACATATTTGCGTAACAACTTTGTATAGTGGATAAGTGGTGATTATGGATTTGATCTCCAATCTCCAGCAGGTAGCAAATGAGATCAGAGGGAGTTTGAGTTGCTCTTCTCTTAAAGGCTTTGAATAAAACAAAGAGTGATTGCTGCTCCTCTTCTTACCTCTCTGCCTTAAACCCAATGTAAGAAGAAGACTCATCTTAATCATAAATCTCGTTAGGTTTCTTTAACTCCTACTTGACGTAACGACTTGTGTCATCTCTTGTTTTATCCATAATCAAAATAATTTATTAAAGCCTTAAGAGGCTAAGAAAAAGTCTTTATATATATTGCCTTGACTTTCAAATAAATTGTGAAGGAGGGAGGGAGGAAAGAACATTGAACATTGCCTGAAACTACAAAACTCAACAGTGTCAACGTCTGAAGATTCCGATCCAACCAAATCCAAAATCAAATTAGATTATTATGTGAATAACCGAATTAGTTTCGTAGCCATTTAACAAACAAATAATAGTATAATAATAGAAATCAGCCGCCCGTTGGGAGAAAAGTCAAAAACACCATTCGGGTAGGGGACGTGGCGTCCGGTCCAAACATCCTCGTATCTTGCTTCCTTTTCTTCCTGATTACAAAAATGTAGGATATTTTATAATTTTTATTTATAGAAAAAACACCATACGAACTTGGTTTTCTAATCAATGCTTTACCGAAAATAAACGTCTTTGAAGCCGACAAAAAACAAAAAACGTCTTTAAAAACATTAACATTATTATCAAGTTAGTGAAAATGTTTTAGACATTAACAAAAGAAGTTGGTTTTTGAGTTTTGCATTGGATAATTTTGCTTATGGTTTTTCATAAAATGTTGATATATATAGTTTTGTAATCTGCGAATACATGAGATGGTGCGTTTCGGACACAAATAAAAGCATCGACATGTACTACTTAATTCTCACATTAATTGGCACTAAATATAACGAAGTAAGCGCGTAATTAAAAAAAGGTAACCGACTTGTGCGCTTTTTCAGGTGAAATTACATAAACAAATGGGAGGTCAATTTTGTTATAAAGAATGAAAGAAGTATAAAAATATACTATAGAGGAGAGTTAGTTAATTGGTTATTAAAAAAGAGCCACTAGTCGTATATGCATTTGGCACATCATGTCATGTGCATTATTCTGAATGGAAGGGTTTGTGAATTTCACTTCACTTTCCGATTGCCGTGTTTCCCAAAACAACAAGCTATCCAAGTACGTACCGTTGGAGTTTTCACAATCAATTATCAATCCATTGTACACCTTGTCAATCCATCTCTATCACCTTCTTTATTTTAATCATTATTACCATATCTTAATTAGTCGCACATTAATTCACACGATTAAGTTATCGATAGATTAATACTCCAAGAATCTAAAATTTAAAGTGTGTCTCAAAGTCGGTAGCCGGATCTCACGAACAAACACATACATAGGTGATCAAATGCTTATACATATAATTGACATTTTTTCAACCTCAATACAAGAGCCTAGTTGCAATCAAAACAAGTAGTTTCCATAGATATTCATACGGTACTAATACTATACAAGTTGATCTGATTGATGGCGATGGTGAATAGTAAAAGGCGTGTAATAATCCTCTGTATATTAATAGAGGAGACACTAGATGAAAAATCCTAGGTATCATTTTTTAAAAAAGAGAATTTTAAGAAACTTTTAATGAAAAAAAAAATTAATGACATAGACCATTATGCAAATAATTAGAATAGCCTAACTATATCTTAACCGAATTATCCACCAAATTTATATCATATACAATATATAATCATCAAACAAACTATATCTTAGTCCCATTACCCACCAAATTTATATCATATATAATATATAATCATCAAACGAATATGGTAGCAACGAATATATGGTAATTAATATGGAAGATATTATTTAAAGATTTATTCAAAAACAAAAACTCATGATTTTTTTTAATATACGAGAGAAATTAAAAATAACAAAGATCAAAAGGCATATATCTTCCATATAGATAAATATATTTTATCTTACAAAATTTAATTTTCATGACACTTAGATTAAATGTAGAGATTTTTTTAGAAATTCCACTTTTGAGATGCCACTTTTAAAAATTGCCACTATTTTGATTTTTTTTTCTCAAAAATACCACTAATCTTTTATTTATTAATTGCGTAGACATTTGGTAAAAAATCATATTTGTTATTCAATGAGGGTTGTAAAGAACATGTCATTTAAACTAAACCAATCCTTTAACCAACAAATTTAACCAATGAAAACATTTCAATTAAAACTATATGTCATGGTGAAAATTTTTACATGTTTTTATCAGTTTTAAAACATAAACCCATTAAAACATGTTTTACAGATTTAATTTTAACTAAATATAATATTTAAACTTACCATATCATATATCTTTTAATTTTTTAATATATTAAGAAGCTTTTCGTTATTATATTTGTAACAATATTATTTATTTTTAGATGATAAATACACTTAAAAATATTTTATAATTTTATTATTAGAAAACATATATTTTTTTGTTTGTTATATCCGACAAATTCATATAAATCTTCAATTTATTTGATTTATCGCATGTTTTATAGTTTACACAAATAATAAAAATCAATTTTGCATTTCAAATAAATTGAAATAAATTTCATTTGCATTAGTTTTAATATTTTTATGCAAAACCGATCAAAACATATGACATCAAAATATTTTTGATTAAAACTTAACTGTATTACATTTATGCATAATACATATTATTTTGTACGTTTTTAAAATTTAGAGTATGCGCCTAAATACTAAGATCAATTAGAAAATATATTTAATTATTTAATCTTACGTTTGGCGTGGGTCAAAATAGACGAATAAAATAGAATCATCGAATCTTGCTTGAGAAACAAAAGTTGGAAATGAAAATGACGTGGATTAGAAGAAAGAGTGGGTCCCATTAATCAAAATTGAGAATGGCAACTAGTAACGCGCTAATCAATAATAATAATCATATATCCCCACACTTCTTTAATTATCTAATAATTCGGTTATAAATACATTTCCACTTGTCCATCATCTTCTCCATTCCAACAAACAACAACATTCGAATTTAATAAAAACAAATCTCCACAAAACAATGGAAGCTACACTGATTTCTTCCATGTACTCACCATTCCTCCGATTCAATCCAATCTCCACGAGAACGCAACACAAGAAGAAGACGATGATTGTGTGTGCTTCTGGTGCAGGGAACAAAGACCATTACTACTACGGAGGAGGGAGATTGGTGGATGAGAACATGATCGTTCTAAGGAAACGCATACACGAGATGAAAATGGTTGAACGTAACTACGAGCCTCCTTCTCATTGGATGGATTGGGAGAAACGTTTATACAACAGCTACGACTCTGTGATTTGCGATACCGTTGGTCTTCTCCAGAGTTTTCTCATGAACTCTCGTCCAACCGTCGCAATTGCGACTCTGCTACTTCTTCTCGTAAGCGTTCCACTTTCCTCCACCGCGATCGCGTTTCGCCTACTTGACTTCCTTCATTGGCTTCTCGCCGCCGCCGCAACATCAGCGTGATATGTATCTTTGGCTCATTTTTACTTATTTTTTCTTGACTATCGTCCACAATTTTTTTTTTCTTTTTTGTATATATACACTTAATTATGTGTAATACATATAAAGTCTACT